CGATGGAGAAAGCCGCTAACGATCGACTCCACACCTTCGACAACAAGAACGCTACTCCAAAGGCGTCGTCGCTGAGGAAATGCTGGCCCTCTCTGAGGTCGTCTCACCCAGACGCCTACCGTGCCCTTGGGGCTCAATTTCTTGCGCTGAAGCGAAGCGGTCAGATTGTCGACGCATGTACACCACTCAAGCACTAGTGGATGAAATCCGAGCTCACATGATCCGCACGTTTTGGCCTCCTAGCTGCAACATTTCATAAAACGCATTCAAACACAGGGTTTGCAAAGCCAGCGGCACGGAATCGAACCGACATCTGGAGACACAGTCTCCAGCTTTCCCGTTAAGCTACACCGGCAGAAGAAGAGAGTAGTGAGAGGGAGTGCAGGGTGTATCGCTTGACGCGAACTTGGCTTGTGTGGTTGGAGCTGGAAATCGGGGACTGACAGGAAAATTGATCTGTCGCAACCTCTGTCACAAAATTTAGTGGTCCGTATTTAGTTCGTATTCCAATTGGTTAAAATGCACCTCTCCGGAATGAGTAAGAACCAGTTGATTGGCTCATCTTGATTGTACCCATCCCATACAAAACCGTATGTTGGTGTCCGGATTACGTCCGGAATCTGCCATTTACGTAACTAAATCTGGAAAACAGTGGATATCAAGCAACCGCCTGATGTATAACGTGTATCCCATTCTTTCCGGTTGTTCACCCAGTTAAGCACCTATATGCTCGCAGAAACCAGAGAATAAAGACTCGCCGAACGGAATGCTTATCCTAATTTGTTCTGCCACCTATCAAAGTATCATTTAATCTGCATCATTCAATGGAGCGTGAGAAGAATTTTTTTATTATTCAAGACGTGTAGTAGCCAACAAAAGCTGCTTGGCGATAGTGGTGACAAAACGCTGGGCAAAAACTGCACTGGTCCGAATATGTCCTTAGCCTCCGCGATAGTAAGGGTTGTTTTTCGGATCCCAGTGGCGATGGGTTTCCTGTGCCGCATCTTTCTTGGCGATGACTTGAACCGTGCATAAAGCAACAGCGATGCCAGCAACGAAAACTCGAAGGAAGCCCATCTATCCTCGATGCGTGTCGAAATGGACAATGAAGAAAAA